AAAAATGCACAATTTTATATGAAGGGTGCTAAAAAGTTTTCACAATCAAGGCAATCCTTTAAAAATTAAAACGTAAAAAACAATGCGATATCTTTTCATTTGATCAAATCTTTGGAACTGGATCATCAACAAACTTTTCAGCACCTCTCTCTCTCCTTTCAGTAACGGAACAGTGGGCAGACATATATATAAATGCAAAAATCAATAAGTTTATAGCCTGATGAGAAAAATTTTTTTATTAATACATTCTAGTATGTTTATATATATATATATATATATATATATATATTATATATATATATCCATATAACTAAATTAAATGCATTGACAAAGGAAAATTATGCCTGAAAAATATTTGTTGGGTGTCAAATAAATATTCTTTTTATCATTAAACTATGAATATATTTATTTGTGTGTGTGTGTGTGTATATATATATATATATATATATATATATTATATATATATATATTTATAAAATCTTTAATTCCAAATTTGTCAATCAACAATAAATTTGATGACCTGGTGTCTCAAAAAAAGTCACTTACCCCTTTTTATAAAGTTGATTCCTTCCTTTCTATAAAAGGTGCATCAGGTGAATTTGATTAATATTATATATATATATATATATATATATATATTTATATATACTTAGATATTTAATTTATATAAAGAATAAAACAATTTAAAAGCTATTATGTCAAAGTTATAGAAGTATTGATCCACTGTATATATATATATATATTTATATATATATATATATATATATATATATATATATATAGACATTTAGGAAAAAGCTTAATATTTTGATATTAAGTTACATATCTGCAAACAACACAAATTTCCAAATGTAGAATACATATCCAAACACATGCACAACTATTCTAGTAAGTATTTCTCAGATTAATTGGCATTTAAGCTCCCCATTAACCTCTGTTGGACAATTTTATTTTCTCAATTTTCTTTTAGTAGACTAAATCAACAGAAAAAAAAAGTCACAAACAGACTACTAATTTGGTTGTCATCCATCAAAAATCATTTTTTTCTACCATTTGCTTTTCATTTAGTAAAATCTCTTCCTTTTTATTCAATCTAAAGAAAATTCTAGGATCTTAATCTTTACAGATAAAGAGAAATGTATGAGAACAAAACTGTCCAAATATCTCTATGAAAATCTTTCAGTAAAAGACTTATTCCTTGATTCTTTTCAGTGCTTCATTTCATTATATATTGACCAACTATGATGGACACCTGAAAAACACGAGAGGGTACAATGACTTATGGAGAGTTGAGGAGGTAAAAATTTGGCCTATTAAGCTCACCCACAAAACAAAAAGGAAAGTAAAATAAGAAAGATAAAGTTTAAATCCAACACTTTTATATTCTATAAATTGTTGAGATGATTTACTAAAACTGTTTATTTTCTTTGTCAGGTTTCCTTATTTAAGACAGTTTCATGTAAGAGGAAAGAGACCAGACACAGGAAGAAATTTACAGTCTCTTCTTACTGCTTCAAATTGGACTTTTACATCAGACTTTTTTTTTGTTGTTGTTCGGACTGCAAGACTATTTTATACAGTGTCCGTTTATTCATACCTAGTGCCCAGACATAATAGTAAACACAAATTGCACATGATTATTTAACAAAAGTACTCAAATCTACATAAAAGTATGTTACTTATTCAATATGGTAGTGTTCAAAGTTCAGATTATTTGCTATGGTAGTGTTTGAAGACAGATTATTCAACGCAGTAATGTTCAAAAACAGATAATGTATAAACATTACCTATCTTTAAATACATGACAAAACTTGAATTTATAAATCATGTAGAGAAAAGTTTGTAAAATTGTAGTTTCTTCTGGCTTATAATCAATTCCTGTTATCCGTTTCCTTAAGTCAAACAATCCACTGACTGCAACATGTGTCTCCTGTTTGCTACAGAAGTCACTGTTTTCTGTTGCCTTGTTATGCACTTTTTTTATATCCTCATTGACAGTAAAAATTTACATACGTAAAAAGAGACTCTCCAACTCAAAGATCTATCTATTTTAAATGTGTGATCCACAAAGCCACTATTTTTTCTTTTTGGGACAGTTTGCATGCAACCCTGGGTCTCTGTGTTAGTTCACTATAAATCAGTACAAACCAATTATTAATTTCTAATTAACACTCAAAGTGCTCCAGCTGCCTTTTACAATCATTCACTCAAGTCCTGTAAACTTCAACCACAGCCTTAGCATCCTAGGTGTTGTTCCATAGCAAGTAAGTTTTGTTGAATTTAGCATTGTCATTCTCTTAGACTGGTTGTCAACCAAGGTTGAAGAGCCCAGTTTGTCCTACTATTTAATCCATAACCAAGAGGAAGAAGAGATGTGTTCTTACCTTTCCCAAGAGCATTTGTGCAAAAGTGAATTTAATGAACCCAACTGAAAATTGATCTTGGCTTAACAATTTCTCACTTCAAGCCATTAACCATTATTCCACCTGCACATCCCTAACTGCAATCATTAGTTACTGCAAAATTTGAATTGTATAGGATTTTGTTTTATTCTTTTGAAGATGATGGGTTTCAAACTCAGAAAAAATTACAGATAATCAAGATAATTGATTGATTTGCTATCAACCCATTACAAGTTATTTAAAACCAGAAAATATTTTTAGATTGTAAGAATTTTTTTTAGAGATAATGGTTTAATGATATAGGCTTACTAATTAACCCATAACTGGGGGGAAGAGGTGGATTCATACCTTTCCCAAGGGTATTTACATGTAAGTGAATATAATAGACCTGATAAGAATTGGAATTCATTTCTCCAATTAACAATTCTGAGCTATTATCCATTAAACCACCTGCATTAAGCTTACTTGGTATACCCAAGTGGTTAACCATCTTGGTATTGACCAGGCATGATGTTGCTTAACTTCAGTGATCATATGGGAACTTGTGCCTGAACATTATGTGCCTCTTCCTTCATAACAACAAACAAGAAACAAACAATGGGCAATTTTACACTGGCAAAATAGTTGAGAAAATTTGCTGGTGGAAATATTTTAAGTTATTTTCAGAAAGATAAAATCGTTTCTTCATGAAATAACAGCACAGTTGTCTCACTCGAGGGAATTAAGTTATTTTTGAAAAAGAAAGAAAGATTTTGAAAAAAAAAAACAAACCCTTTAATGGATTGTGTCATAAGACACACAGGCTTACTGCCATAGCATGATAATAACACCAAATCCAGATGAACTATGAGAGTTAAGCAATGTTGCATCAAGCCAATTGTGAAGAGAGTAATCATTTTCAAATATTATTATAAACAGACACACAAAAAAGTTAAATTATATATAAATCCATTTCTTTGTGTTATTTAGCATATTCATGTTGAATTACTTTTGTCATCGTATTTATCATTTTTAGCAAAGGATATCAATATATGAACCAAGTTAGCATAGAGGGATTTTTTCTTTTAATAACTTCACACCAAGCAGGGCAATAAAGCCACTAATATACAAGGAGTTACTGAGTGTTAGAGAATATGAGGAGAAAAAAAAACACTATTAAGGAGAGAACAATAAAAGAACAAAAATTAAAAAGATAATGATTAACATTTCATTTAAATTCTTGAAGATCAAATTTGACTGGAAAGCAAGAAGCCAGAAGAGAATTTCTCAAGCAAAAAGTGCAATAGAAGAAACTGTTAGCATAGAACTTATGGTTACATCTAGCCATTTTAAGTGTAAAATGATGGGACCTTTCCGCCAATCTAGTACTGCATTTAAATTCTTAAAGTACCATAGAAAGTTCATCAAAACAGTTACCACGGAAGTATTTATAGAAAAGGCACAGGAAAGCTATGTTACTGTGGTGGGAAAGGGACTGAAGTTGAGATGCTAGGTCAGGACCAATAACATTGCAGATTCTTCTTTGGATTTTATCCAGAATCTCTAAATATATAGCAGGAACACCAGAACATTTCTTGAAAATGTGGATATATTTTAAAAGAGCTAACACTGATGTCTGTAATTCCCATATGCAAACCAAAAGCTCAGTATAATTTCTTGAGCAGTTGGTCAAATTTGCATAGTCAAATAAAGCAATAGATAGAAGAACAAAGGAAGGAAATGATGGAAAAATATAACTTGAAACCGAAAAATGAATTTAACAATTTCGTTTTCCAGTTGAGATGTCAATTGTAGACTTATTTGTTAAGGATGTGTTGGTTAGCTGCAAGTTACAAAACTAAGTCAAGCTTTTAATGTTTTGAGAAAAGTTAAAAAAAAAAAAGGTTAGAAAAGAATAAAGGTTGAATTTAACTTTACATCTAAGAAGCACACCTGAGGGAAAAAAAGAAAGACTGCATAATAATAATAATAATAATAAAAGGATGATGATAACATCAATGGGAATGACTGAATGTGGTCACAGCACCAAGAAAATAGATGACAGTAGGAAAGGTATGTATGTCAAAATAGGTTCAATAGGCTGTGAAAAAGTGGGAGGAATTAATTTCCAAATAAGTCAACTTCAGTTGGAGTGGGGTGGGGTGGGGTTCTAATGGAATGTACGTGACATTGTTGTAAAAGGTGACCTCTGGGCTCAAAAGCATTAAGATCGAAATTGATGGCAAAATGCAATAAAAGACAGTAAATTAAAATCAGTGTTTGAGGCACCGGGTGAGAAGAAGGGAAAGGCAAATATATGAAAGACAACAGAATAGATAGAAAAAGATGGTTTATTCCTGAGGAAACAACATGAAAGACAATTACTCCTATGTTCTGAGACAAAAGTAGAAAGTCAACTGCATACATATATACATGAGTGTGTGTTTAAACTGAATTAAATGAATCTGAGGGAGTAAAATTTTAAGTCTAAGGAAAAACAGACAGCGACATTTTGTCCTCACTGAAGCTTTCAAACAAATAAATAAATAATGAGGAGGTAAATAGTGTGAGTCACATTTACAATTGTGAAAATAAAAATAAAACAGATAAGTGTAAAAGTTAAAAGAAAAAAGATGTGAGGAAACAAAATGGTGGTGTGTTGAGAAAGAATTCCACCTTGCAGGAAAAAATAAAAGTTAAACAATAAAGAGAAAAAAGAGAGAATTGAAAGAAAGAGGTATATGGAAAGCTAGGCAGAAAGAAGAAGAAGAAAACAAGAAATAAGATTGTAAATAGGAGGAGGAAAGAGAAAAAAGAAATGAAGAATGTAAATAGAAAGAGAAAAGGAATGGGGAAGAGAAGGAACAAATTAATGAATGTGAGAAAAAAGTAAAGGTTAAAAGACATGAATGAGAGAAAAAGGAGCAAAAGAAAGAAAAAACAAAAAGGAAAGAATGAAAGAAATGCTAAAAAGTACAAGAAGAAAAACTGAATGCAGAATAAGAAAAGTTAAAGAAATGAGAATAAAATATTGAAATGAAAGTGGAGAAAAAAAATTACCAACAGGGGAAACCAAAAGTAAAGAAAAGTTTGGATGGTAGATTGAAGAAACTGATAAGATACTAAAAAATATCAGTAATGAGATAAAATGGAAGAAAAAGAAAACAGAAAAAGAAAAGGCTCATGGGTAGAAAAAAAAAAAAAGAAGGGACCTTAAGAAGAGTTTGAAAATAGGATAAGTAGCAAAGGTGGAAACATGCACAAGAAAAAAAAAAAAAATGAAAAAAACACAAATAAGCTAATATGTAACAAACAACAGGGAGTTCGTTTGGCTGGTTCCTTTCTTCCTGTCTTGGCAATTCTAACCATTACGAAGAAAAAAAAAAGAAAATCAGGAATATTGAAATAGTGAAGGCAGCAGTTATCATCATCATCATCATCATCATCATCCCCATTTCCACCACACTTGTGATAATCATGATGATCCAATGCCACTACCACCACCAAAGCTAACAATATCGTCATCAGGATTTGTGCTCCACTACATACGTGATTGTTGCTGGAGGTGGGGAGTGATCAGAAAATGAATGAAAAAGAAGCAGCTAATATTTAAAGATGACTGATGCGTGTGTGATGGTGCGGACTTGGGATAAATCGTAATCACTGGGGTTATAGAGAAGGGCTGATGAAGAAGAGACTGGACGGGCAGCTGTAGGTAGGGAGAAAATCCTTTAAAGGTATTGGATCGATTAAGAGAAGAACTTTAGGGCAGGGTGTGTGTAAGTGTGTATTGAAGAGCCACCCTTTCCCCCGAACAAGAAAAGGCGGTAAGCATTTAATAGGCAATCTAGGCACGCTGCAAGGAAAGACAGAAAGAGCCATCAGTAAGCATTGTGATGGCAAAAATGTCAGAGAGAGCCCCGGACAAACTATCAAGAGGCGTTCATCCCTTTCTTTTCTCTCACTCTTTCTTTCTGGCTGTGTCGTCCATCCGTCCTGTCCATTCAGCCCAGCCAAGTGTCCACTATCAACTATTTTTCAGTTCATCCTTTTCTGCCTGCCAACTTAACCAGTCCAATGCTAAAACCAAAAGTCAGATTGCTTGACTTGCATTGGTTGGAAAGGATATGAAGCCAACATTAACAACAACAGCAAGAATCAAGGATAGAAAATGACAGCTAAGGTGGAAAATGATGAAGTAGGAGAAGAGAATGATTTATAGCGTACTGATGACCTGGCCACTGGTCAGAATCAAACCTTACTAACCACCCACATGCTCTCTGAACAGAAGAAATACCAAAAAGAAAGAATTGGAAAAAAAAAAAGAAAAAAAAAACAAGAGAGAGGATAAACAAATGATAAGCAATAACGTGTGAGAAAATCTAGGGAGAAAGAAGAAAAAGAAAAGAAATAAGATGGTGAAGAGGAGAAAGGAAAGAGAAAAAAGATAAATAAAGAATGAAAAAAGAAAGAAAAAGAGAAAAATAAGAGATAGTAAGGATAAACAAGAATGACTGAGTAAAACTCGGGTGAAAGAAGAATAAGAATGATGAAAAGGAGGAGGAAAGAGAATAAAGATAAATAAGAAATGATAAGGTGAAAAATCAAGAAATTTTTGAAAAAAAGAAAGAAACATTGAAAAAGTAAAAATAAAAAAGATAGAAAGAAAAACTGGTCAATGACGACATGGTGTATGTATGTGATGGTTAGATGAGATGGACATTGGCTGCTGTTTTGAAGAACACTGAGATAAAAAGGTGTGTAATGGATAGTGAGGCTAAATATCTGTATAGGGTATGTAAAATGAACAATTTTTGGTATTGTTCAAGAAAGAGAGTAACAAGATTCTAGGGGGAAATTAACCATTGAATAGCAAAGAGAAGAAATAAAAGAAGAGTTCAAAGGAATTATAAAGGGTCAAAGATAGAGCAGCTATGGCTAAAAAGAGATGACAAAAGGTGAATGTCCTGAGGGGTCTGGAATGGTAACTGACAAAAATTCCTCCCAAAATTCCCCAAAGATTCTCAGAACACAATGAACAAGCCTTCTGTGTAAAACAAGAAATATTTAGATTAACAAGGTTCTTGGCGCAAGATATGAGTCATAATGTGTCAAGCATGATTTTACCAGAAAAAGCAGACTATTTTTTTTTTAAAAGTTGTCTCTCTATAACATTTGTAATCAATTTGACAAGATGGAGAGAGATATTCTTGTCTATATTATTTCAAATTTGATAGTTTATGACAGAACAAAAGGTACAAACATTTTGTATGGTTCTGAAAGACAATACACTCAATAAGCGACACAGATAAAGATTTCATCTGTGATACTGCTGACCCTTGAATGATGTATACAGAGATAAAGTTGTCAAAATATATATATATATATATATATATATATATATATATATATATATATATATATATGAATAATGGTAATTTGTAGGAATAATTCCAAGGAGGACAGTAATCCAAAGAGGGCTCAATGAGCAATATAATAAGTAAAAAACTTTATATTGAAATTTTTCTTTTTCCTTTTTTTTTTCTTCCATCCGAAGAGATGAATATTTAAAGATATTCATGAAATAAATTATAAATGAAATGGATTAAAGATTTTCTTTATTATATATATATATATATATATATATATATATATCAGGAGCTAAATATGATAAAATAAGGTATAGTTTTAACATATGATATTTTTATAGGTAAAAGTGCTCAATATCAGAAATAGGGTATATATAAATGTAAAAGCAGTGACAATCTGTTTCATGTTTGAATGTAATCTTCAGGCCATAAATATACTATACCTTAAAACTATATTTTATTATATATATATATATATATATATATATATATGGACTGCTTCACTGTCTTAACAGTAGGTTATTAATATTAATATTTTTATTTTACAACAGTTGGTTTTCAATCAGTATCTGAAACTCACAGCATGCATAAAACTCAAAGTTGTACCAAACGTTGAGCAAAAGACATGTACATACATTTATTACTGAAAGACTATTTTAGTCCCTTCACCCGTTGTATTGAAGTATTAAAAATATGTTACATTAAAAAATAAAATCCATTAATTTTTGTGATGCACCGATTTAAAATACAAAAGACACACACGACACTATAAATAAAAATTTAAAAAATAGAAACTTTCTGGTCGCGGGTAATTTAATTTTTTGCCTCTCTTGTCCTTTTAAATATCAATGAATTTTCCTTACACACAATTTTGTCTTTCATTTTGACATGAAGATGTAAAAATAAAAAATATAATGTATGAAAACATTATAATGGCCTTAAAAAACATTATTTTCCAGTGTGTTATACAATCATCCTCCATTTTTGTTCCAGATACAATATTAATATATATTCTATATATATATATATATATAACAAATATATATAAAAATACACATATATATATATATATATATATATATATATATAATATATATATATATATATATATATATATATATATATATATATATATATATGTATTATATATAAGATTTCAAGCTTGGACGAGAAAATATATTGATCAAGTAAAGAATGGAATTTTTATCGAACTGTTTTTTAGAACTGTTCCATCGTTTTTAAAATCATTTTTGGATTTGCATTGTAACGGGAAGGACTTTCAAGCTTGTTGAAGATATAAGAACCAATTGATCACTACGTATTCCAACATCAACGGAAGAGATTTCTTTAACTGTTTATAAAAATTTTTCAATCGACTTTTTGATATTTTAATTTTTGGAAATCATCTTCGAATACGTCTTAACAACATCGCCCACGTGACGACTACGTGATCATATTTAAACAGAACGCTGATCTGTATAAAATTTCAGTTATCTGTCTGAATTAGTTGGGCTCTTATGTCCATCGTCTTTTGTGTTAAATTGTTATAAGTTATAATGTTAATTATGTTTAAATGAAAATGTCCATGAAGATGGTCTTAAATAGACCGAAACGTCCGACGTCGACTTTATTTTAACATTAATAATGCATATTCAGAATTTTTTTTTTTTTTTGTATTTTTTCTTTCATACTGTCGGATTTATATCCATATATTTGCTCACATATGTCTATACTGAAATTACTTTATAACGTGGAAGATTTCAAGCTTGGACGAGAGAATCTATTGATCAAGTAAATAATGGAATTTTTATCGAACTGTTTTTAGAACTGTTCCATCGTTTTTAAAATCATTTTTATATTTGCATTGTAACGGGAAGGACTTTCAAGCTTGTTGAAGATATAAGAACCAATTGATCACTACGTATTCCAACATCAACGGAAGAGATTTCTTTAATTGTTTATAAAATTTTTCAATCGACTTTTTGATATTTTAATTTTTGAAATCATCTTCGAATACGTCTTAACAACATCGCCCACGTGACGACTACGTGATCATATTTAAACAGAACGCTGATCTGTATAAAATTTCAGTTATCTGTCTGAATTAGTTGGGCTCTTATGTCCATCGTCTTTTGTGTTAAATTGTTATATGTTATAATGTTAATTATGTTTAAATGAAAAATGTCCATGAAGATGGTCTTAAATAGACCGAAACGTCCGACGTCGACTTTATTTTAACATTAATAATGCATATTCAAATTTTGTTTTTTTCTGTATTTTTCTTTCATATATATATATATATATATATATATATATATATATATATATATATATATATATATATATATATATATATATATATATATATATATATATATATATATATGAATTTTTAGGCTAATATATATCAGGTTATTCTCCTCTGTTGTCAGTACATGATTTACTGAAAGAATATCTCTGTCATATGTACATATTAAACGTATATGCAAATGTTTTTCCTATGGAATTCCTTGAATTACAGGATATAAGAGTTTGTTAATGACCAGGGATTAATAAAAGTATTTCTTACAGAATAAGACTTAAATATAATGCAAATTATTTCATACTTTAATATACTAAAATATATAACAAAATGTTTTTATAAATAATTTTACTAAAAATTCATTTATAATATATATATAAAGTGAATGTTCTCTATAATGATTTAATGTTCGTATAGTTAGCAATTATTGTCTTAAAATATATATATCGATGCATATAAAGGAATATATGATGTATACATATGCAAATTCAAATGATTTTAAAGCATAAAATTACAAAATAAATCAGTAAAATAAATATTGTCAGTGTTCAGAAATTTTAGAGAGCCATCTTCCTTTTTTTTTTCTTTTTTTAATACAAAACCTTTAAGGACGTTAAAATCATATATATATAATATATATATCCTAGATAGCATATAAATAAATATGTCTTATTTGTTGTAAGATCCTATATAAAATGTTCCATTTAATCCATTCAATCAAATTCGCTATATAATCCATGCACTGTTTTCCCCTAAACCTATTGAGTTTCATCTGTATTGTGAATTTTTGAAATTTTCCAAGACCTCTTTTCTCATGATATAACTTACTCTTCCTGATGTTAAGTATAAAATTTTATCGTATTTCAATTTTTTTGTAAACTCCGTCGTTGCTCATATGCCCGATATGTTTTGTTTTGTTTTACGGCATATCAACACCTCAATGGGTTATTTTTGCCGACAAGATTTTTATTATTTTGGATTTTTTTTTCAAAAAATATTCTGGGTTTTTTTTTCAAAAAAATTGTTGTTAATAATATTTTTTCCAAAAATGTATTATGATAATTTTTTTTCAAAATGTACTATGGCATTTTTTTCCAAAATGTATTGCTGGTAATAATTATTTTTAAATGAAATTTTTGCTGGTATTTTTTTTTAAAAATTGTATTGTTGGTATTAAAAAACTATGTTCATATTTTCATAGTATTTATATTGGGAGGTAACTATTTGCCCATAGCTGGGACCCTATATATATACACACCAACCCGGGTGTATATATACCTGGAAACATCGGCAATATTGGTGGTTCCGCGCTCCTCAAAACCTTATGATTAGAGGCCTTGCTATTGAATGTATTTATCGTCTTACCCAGGACGTTCATATGTTCGGTATTATAGTATCCTATATAGAACCACATTTTATCAGTAATGGCTTAGTCTGTGAATATATATATACAGAGAGGCATATATATATATATGAAATAAGGCTATTCCATGTATATCTAATCTTGATGCATAGATAACCTGGGAAAGAAAATAATTTATATTCATATTTCACTAACATATATGATATGTTCGAAACTGAAAATTCTTGGAAGATAAACGCTTGATATTTCAAAATATCTTTTCATAAGAACTATCTGATCTCATTGACATCCATACTAATTACAGAGAATAATCTTTGTTGGTATATATGCATATTATATATATCTTGCGCGGCTAATATATCATTTATATATCATTTATGGCTACCGTCATTCATAATGAAACTTTATCCCCCAATCAACACATGGAAATATATATACCAACGCTGGGAGATAATAATTATAAGTTTTTAATATATTTTCGATGATTAAATATTATTTTAAAAATTTTCAAACTATTTATTCATTAGTTCCACCAGCTGTTTTTTCATAAACATTATATAATTCATTTATTGACAAACCGTGTTCAAATATTTTTTATTCCT